AGGGAGCCCGATGCGGGACTCGATCCTGGGACTCCAGGATCATGACCTGAGCCGAAGGCAGTCACTTAACCAACTGAGCCACCCAGGCGCCCCAGGGCCAATTTATTAATTAGATATAGAAATGAATTATTTCATAGAATTGCCTACCTTCAATTCCCAAGTGAATGTGGAATGAACTCCTTTTATCTTTCTACCTCTCCATGTTTATCAAAGCTTTACTTATTTTAGGCTAAATGTATATATATATAGTCAATGGGAATTTTAAGATGAAATATACCTTGTGTTCTTTTCTGAAACTTATTCTGCCTCTGGAGATGTTTTATCCTTTAAAGAATAGAGCAACATGTGATGGTATAGGAAAAAATGCAGGGCTAAGAGTTAAGAGATGTGGGCTTTATTCTAGATCCTTAAAATTACCTTTTTGATAGGGTACTGCTGGGTCTTCTGCAGGTCTAGAATTTTATAATTCTGTAATCTCATGTATCTAATATCTTTTATCCAATCCTGAAAAAGACTGCAACTAGAATTATAAATGCTAGTTTGCAAATGATAAAACTAAGGCACAGGAAAATTAAGTGGTTTTTTCCTGAGGGCACAGAGCCAATAAATGGCAAAATTGAATATAGAATCCATGTTTCCTGACTCCCAAATAGTCTTTCCATTAGGCATATAAAGTATTTGTTCTTCCTCTGTAATGCTCCCAGGTTTTTACTAGCTCATCATTTTCTTTAACTCTAATGATGGAGATCCTGGTCTTGAGAAAGGACAATGCAAAAATGGTTCCATAGTGACATAACTTTGGGACACATTGTATATCATGTGCCCCTTCGTAGATATTCAGATTGTACTTTGGGATATTAAAGGCTTTGGAAAAAAGGGGAGGAAAAGCTTATTTAACTTTCTTCAGCTCATCACATCCCAGATTCGTATGACACACAGAAGCCTTTTTGTAAAAAGAATCATTAGCCTTTGAGGAACTACTTTTCCATGAAGCACACACTAGGAAATGCTTTTGGTTGTTTTTAAGGGAAAAATAAAAGATAATACATGAAAGTTCTCTGAAATATAAAATAGCAACAATGTTAATGATATTGCTGTATATATTTTTGTAACTTATTTTAGACATCTTAGCTGTTACTGCAGCTTGGGTTCAGTTCGAGTACATTATTAAATCTTGTAAAAATATTTAAACTATAGAGGCGCCTGGGTGGCTCAGTCATTAAGTGTCTGCCTTTGGCTCAGGTCATGATCCCAGGGTCCTGGGATCAAGCCCCACATCGGGCTCCCTGCTCAGTGGGAAGTCTGCTTCTCCCTCTCCCACCCCCCCGCTTGTGTTCCCTCTCTTGCTCTGTCTCTCTCTGTCAAATAAATAAATAAAATCTTTTTTAAAAAGTGTTATAAACAAACCGTCCTTCCTTTGATGTCTGTTTGCTCAGCCCTGCCCTTTACCTCAGAGTTTAAGGGGCCCCCTCCAATAGCAGTTACTATGCTTTATTTTCATTTCATTATAGATTAAATAGGTTTTTGTGGGCTTGTCTGGGAATTTAAACCCAAGTACACTTTTTTCCTATAAATAATTTGCTCTGTCAAACAACCAGTTTCAAAGAAAACTGTTTTGTATACTTCATCCTGCCTGCAGTATAATTTCTGATTAATCCAGAATTCTCCTAGAGTCACAAAAAATGTAGAATCACCATTTTCAGAGTATCAAAGCACAATAGAACTCTGCCCTCAAAAGATTTTTTTTCCAGAGATAAAACTTTATTTAAGGCATCAAGCAATATACTGAAAGAAGTGAGTCATGCACAAGTAATGTCCTTATTTCCATAACTGTACATTTGATACTCTCTGCCCTCTTAACAAGGGAGTGTAGTGAGCGAAGATGAGAAGCACACAGCTTTTATACATAACCATATCAATATAAGTGTTTAAGAAAGTCCTTAAATTTTGTTTTCCTTCTTTGAAAGGAATTTCGGTTTTATTTCAGAAAACCAAAACGAACTAGTTCTTCTACTGAGGATCAAATTTCTCTCCAGAGTTATTTTATGAAATAATACAGCTGCCTTTCTCTTTAAAAGGATTCTTGTCTTCTGGAATTCCTCTCACCAGAGGATCCTTTCCAGAACGTTCTTCAATGTAGTTCTTTATTTCTTCAGAACATTTAGACACCTGTTGCGTCTGCATCTTCACTTCTTTGCGAAGTTGCTCAACTTCCATCTTCAGCTTTTTCTTTTCTGGCAAATCTTCGATGTGAAGGGCCGGCATTTTTGCCCCAGAACCGGGCCCGGGGACAGCTCTGGAAGTGGACAGGCTGGGAGAGCGGCACACCAGCCCTCAAAAGATTTCTAACTTTGATGTACGTGAAATTCCTTCACTAGATGAGATAATGAAAATGAGTATAATTGTGCTTAGGGGAAACAGTGTAGCTTAGTATCTGGTTTGACAGTATTTCATAAGATGAGGCCTTCATACTTTCTCCAGTGTTTTATTTTTTTTTCTCCAGTGTTTTATTAGCCTCCCATTTCAAGAAAGGATATGGGTTATAAATTCATTGATCTTCATTCTCTGATCTTTGGCTGCTTACAAACACAGAATGTTGGCACTGAGAGGAACTTGAGTGAAAGAGACCTAGTTACCATTAAAGAAACCAGAGCCAAAAAAAATGAAATCAGTAGTTAATTAGGAAACATGGACCCAACCTTCCTGATTCTAATTTAGCCCTAGCTCCTTTCTAAGAAACTGCACTGCATCTTTTCCTTTTTTACCTCTCATGTGCAACCATTTGTCCATTTGCTCCTTTTTCCACGTTATAGCTCTTGTATCTTTTTCTTTCTCGTGCTACTGCTTAGACCCTCGTTAACCATTCTGAATTGTTGAAAACTTTCTTCCTTCTCCTTCATGTACCCATTCATGCCTTTTTTCTGCCCTTTAATGTGTGAAAATACCATATGGCAGAATATAAACTTAAGATTCAGTGTGTCTTTACAGACTTTACTGTTTTAGTGTGGTAGGAGAAGTAATTTCAATAATTATTACACATGGTAGAATGTGAGTGATACAAAGAAGTTCTTACAGGAATTCAGAAGAGATTAAAATAAGATACAACTAGAAGTGATCAGGAAAAGTTTTATTGTGGAGTAGCATAATCCAGTCTATTAGTTAGGACTCTTTCTCTTACAAATGACAGAAATGAACTTAAACTGTGTTTGATAAAAAGTGGTATTGAGTCACATATTGCAGATAGCTAGAAGTAGATTGATTTTAGGCATGGCAGATCCGAGGGGTTCAAACAGTGTCATCAGGTCTCCTTCTTTCCCCGTAAAAGTATTTGTTGAGAGAATAAGGTAACTGGAGAGGCAAATTGGGCCAAGAGGAAATTTGAGAAGTGGGAAAGGAGGGGGAGGTGCAGAGTTTACTACTGTCTCTTCCTCTCTACTTCCTTCCCATAGTCCAATCTTCCCAAATTGTAAATTGTCCCTTCTGGCTACCATATTACAGAATACCTTATTCCTTAGTGGTTTGGAATGTTTTCTTTCAGTGAAATTATGTATTTTTTTAATAATACTCTGTACCTGGCAACATTATTTCTTTCCCTGTCCCTACTTTGCCTTCACAACCTGAAAAGCATCTTCTTTTCCACAGTTAAAATGACCTGATTGCCATTCTTTCTGAAACCATTCCTATGAGACAGAGATTAGCTAATGTGTTTTGTTGTGTTTTATTTTTTCCTACCCAGTCTGGGAAAGACCAAGCTAGTACTAATGCCTCACTTTGAAAGGGGTTCCAGCGTTTCAAGGGTACTCCTGTATAGATTCAGGTCCCTTTTATCTAAGCATAATTAATCCTGGAATGAATTACTTAGAAGAATTACTTAGAATTACTTAAAAGAGATGCCAAGATTTCAGAAGATAGAGGAAAATATTTGGGGCTTTATTTTGAAAATTAAAACTAATATTAAGAAAACAAACAGTAATTTATATAATCCCCTTTAAGGTCTTAAGTGAACAAAGAGTGAATTAATTACTGAGTTTTTTGGTGAATTTTTTTTCTGCAGAAAATTGTTTGGTAATATAGAAATGTCTTTTACCTTACATTTGAACCTTCTTGATTTTCTCTTTAGTTATCAACTGACTCTAACTCAGTTTAGGTTCCAATCTGTCAGTGGCTTTTGTGTTTAATTAAATGGTTCTTTCACATCATTTTTAAGGACTTCATGCAATTTTGTGTCTCTTGCATGATACTCAACTTTTGATGGTTTCTTTTGTATTTGCTTTGTATAATGGCATATTTAACAAAAGACTGACCAACAACATCACTGACTCTGGCCTGAGATAACCACACTGTCTTTGAGGGCTATTTCACTGGGATTATTTTTTTTAAGTTTTCTGGTTATTAGTGAATATTTTCATGAGGTTGCAGCATTGCATACTGGTAACTCTAGGGACCCTTATAAAGAGGACCTTTATTTTTATTTGTTTAACCCAGTCCATTTGCTCATCATCACTTATGTGTGTATGTTCTGTGATCAAAGGTAATCCTTTCTGCTCTGCACAGTTTTATCATAGGTAAGTGGCATAGATCTGATAAATGGTTCTTCCTTGAATCTTCCCATTGTTTGTGTCTAATTCTAGCCAAGTGAACGTGAACTATGCCCGTAGTGGGATGCGGCTAACTTGGTTACTAGAGAACAAAAGAATGATTTTTTAAGAGGAACTTTTGTAAACTTTACAGTTTTCCTAGATTTGTATAATGTGAGAACCACACTATGGCACATAGTTAAGAATTTGGGGCACTCTTTCAAATCTTTTTTTTTTTTAATCAGTAATTTTACCTTTTTGCAGCACCTGATTAAAAAGAACCTATGTTTTATAACATTATTTTTCCTTCTTGCTTGTGCTGGGCCTGAGCACATTAGAAAGCTTTGTTTAATCTGTTTTACTTGTTGTCAGTGGCGTCATGTAAATATGGAAGTTTGTGTAATTGACATTGATTTCATTACTTACTCTGTTTCTTAAGGACGTGACCTATATTGTGATCTTGGAATTGTCCTTTTAAGACACAGCCATGCTAATCTAAGTGGATTACCCAAATCCAAAATCCTGGTGGTCTGCAATTTCTTTATAAATGGTTTTGCTTTGCACAGTCTTTGTTTAATTCCCTTATCCTCTGTAAAGTGTTGAGGAGACTGTCTGATATTCTAGTGTGGATTTTGCCTAAAGCAGTTACCACTTTAAAGCCAGAATCATTGAGTATGACATAAGAGTAAAAAATCTAATGAGCAATAAAACTTGTGTTTAAAATGACAATTTGTTTTAACATAAATGCAAATGAAAATCATATCATTCCAGGTAAAAATCAGAATTAAATTGAGAACAAAATAATTATCCTTGCACTTAGGCAGGGAAAACTTTCTAATTTATCTTTTTAATTTTCTGTTGAACTTACTATCAAAGTAAAATAGATGTGACACTCCACATTTCTTTCTATAGTATATCTTTTCCCCAAGTAGCATTTAATTTATTGTAAATAGGGTAGAGGAAGCTCTAGTCAGTGTTTTTGTAATTTCAGATTGAACTAAGCTTTCTTAATTGAGGCTATACTTCTTAGATGCAAAAATCAGAAATTGCCCTTTTTTTATATTTATGTGTTTACATTTATTGTTAGCTCACAGATAACGATTCTTAAGCCCAGTAGAATTGCATCATTAGCATAGCTTTGAGCCAAGGTGACTGTTAAAATTGTGGGGATAAGTGTGGGAATTAAATGAATTCTAAGAGGGTGCCTGGGTGGCTCAGTCGTTAAGTGTCTGCCTTTGGCTCAGGTCTTGATCCCCAGGGTCCTGGGATCGAGCCCCGCATTGGGCTCCCTGCTTGGCAGGAAGCCTGCTTCTCTCTCTCCCACTCTCCCTGCTTGCGTTCCCTCTCTTGCTGTCTCTCTGTCAAATAAATAAATAATAAATAAAAAATCTTTAAATGAATTCTAAGAAGTATGCATGTCAGTCACTTGCGCTGAGCATCTGTTGACTAAAAATATTTCTGTTATTCAGTTTGAGGTAACATTTTCTTAGTTGGAGCAATTATGAGCATGTGCTTGTTGGTTTCTTCAGTTTACAGATAATTATTAGAATACTTTTAATAGTCATACATAACCCTGTTTATTAAATCAGCATCTAAAATAAGTCTTGAAATATTATAAAAACTCAAATTTATAAATAGATCTCTTCACAATATAAGTGAAAAAAATTCTGTATTCATCTGAACTACACTGTACAGTTAATCAGGTGCAACTATACATTTTCATTGTAAGTCTTAACTATCAAATCTTAAAAATGTTAAATTTTTTTATAAGGAAGGGGAAAAGAAACCTGAAAAGATTAGGCAGATATGTTCAAAAGGATTTCACTGGTCATTGGCAATACCTAATTTACTATATTTTTTCCTTTATTTTCAATAAAAATGATCAAATGAGGTACCTAATGGTTTCATGTAAGCAATCTACATGACAATAGCTTGCTTTTGGAAATGAATATCTCCTAAATTGTAGAGTAGTTCCGTACAGTAACAGGCAATCCCACTTGATGTGAGCTGAAGGAAATGAACTGTTAGATATCCAAATATGTGGGTTTATAGCACTTGGTAGAGTTACAGTGGATAGATTACTTTTCTAGCCATTTGATTATTTAAGCAAATTTCAGGCTAAAAACCTATGTTGTTAAAGCATGACTGAGATGTACATAGCAGTATTAGAAGCATTTGGAACTGTGTACATACCTAATCATCCGAACAGGTAACACTTCAGAGTGATGCCATGAATGATGAATGCTCAGAAACAGTTAAAGCTAGTAAGAAAGCAGTAACATATTTCATCATTGCTGTCAACATATAAAAATACCATTGCGGGGGGTAAAATCATATGCTAGGGGATGTTGTTATTTTTCATATTACGTTCAACCATAAGCACATTTGCCTGAAGAAATAGTGGATTATAAAGTGCTCTGTCTTTCATGATGGAGCTCTCAAACACTTTAATGATTTTGCACATTGCAAAAATGAGAAATTTTGTCTAACAAGGGTTGATAATGATGCAATAATGAACAATTTGCCACAGAAACGTGCATTTCTATATTCATTTAGATATTTTGAAGTGTTTTACACAGGAAGTTAAGCTGTTATTGTTGGATCACTTAGTGTTTCTTTTTAATGAATTCCAGAATTATCCCATTGATTTGTCAGTATGGAAAAAAGGTCTTTTCTTATGTTTCAAGTGAAATAAATACATCCTTTTGGCACATCACTAAGTAATTAGCATCAAACAGTTC